TGGGCGAAAATTTCGTCCGTTTTGCGCTATCTCTAACCGTTTACGCGCTAGAGGGTCTTTTTAGACGAAAATAAGCTAAAAATTGCCATAGTGAACAATAAGATGTAGAAAAAAGGCCTAAAAACCGCAAAATAGAAAGGAAACTTTCCCCCACCCCCAAAAAGCGTTTTCTAAGCAGAAGGGTGGGTTGTAGTCACGGTGCTTCACCGTTACGTCGATGTGATCAAGCAATATTAACCTGACTTATTGGGAGCGCGCTGATCCGAATACTTTCTCACTCTAGCCCCGGTCCTTCTCTCTCCCTCTTGTTCTCCCTCTCCGAGCGCGCCTGCCCCCACTCTGCTCTGTTGTCTTGTCTCGCTCACACTATCTCTTCTCTCTCACTCCCCCGCGTGCCCCTCGCCTTGCTCGGCTGTCCCCCACTCCTAGTCCTAGTCCTGCCTCGCTCTGGCAGTTCCCCCTCTCTCTCACTCCCCCGCGTTCCCCTCGCCTCACTCGTCTGGCCCTCGTGCCGTCTCCTTCTCGCCTAGACCTTCTCTCTCTAGTCTGCCTCTCCTCCCCGCTCGCTCGGACTCTTTCTGAATGGAACCTTCTCTCTCTGGCGCGGTCCCCCTCTCTAGGCTCGTCCGGACCCGCGCCCCTCTCGTCTGACTGTTGCCCTCTCTGTCTTTTCTGTCTGGTTATAGTACCATCTCTCTTCCTCTGCGTTTTTGCATACGCAGTCCCTCCTCAGTCCAGCTTCGGGCTGTCAGTGAGCTTCCATCTTCTGAATTAATTAGACGTCCCTGGTCCAGTGCCCTCAGCCACCCCTTGCTCGGGACTTAGCCTCTGGCGCTGAACCGGACTTAGAATTTGACCGTCCGTCGGGAACCGTGGGCGCGCTCCATACTACCTCGCTCACTCTGAGCCCGCCTACACTCCACCTCGCTCATCGACTCCGGTCATCGTTATCATCCATCGATCATTTCCTCTGGAAAAGTGAGTTTGTGTAAACCCAAGTTTAGAGTGACTTAGGATTATTTTGTTAACGTGAGTTCTGGTTCAATAAAATAAATTAAATCTTGTCCTTGCTCAATTCTTAATAAATCACGTCAGGATAACTTATCACAAGCAATAACCAGTGGATAGCAATCGAACAATACATCCGGCCTTAAGCGAGTGACTTAGCGCCAGTGCGCGCGGTGCGTTGGGCCACACTCGACCATACTCACACGAGTTCAGCGTACTCGGCTCGTAGAGCCGCCGCTGACCTGACTCAACACGAGAAAGCACCACCCGATCATACAAACCGACAAACCAAACAAACGACAAGAGAAGTTCACTCACAACGACGTCTCCTTTTCAAGTCTTTGAGGCAAACTCAAAGATGACGGGTTTAAGCGGGCCGAAGGCCCGCTACATCATTTGATCATGTTCTTCAGCAAATCGCGTGACAGAAATGGTCGGGTTCGAAAAATCATTGTACAACCCCCCAAAAAAGTCACAAAAAAGTCACAAAAAAGTAAAAAAAAAGTCACTTTCCGTAAAATCAGTGTACACATTTCGCATGACTGATCACCCCCTCGGGCCCGACCATCGCCACCGGCAGGCCAAGCAGGCCCGGCCCCTGCCGAACGGAGTTGCCGGCGGAGCGAAGCGGAGCTGGCCGCAGGCCCGACCATCGCCGCCGGCAGGCCAAGCAGGCCCGGCCCCTGCCGAACGGAGTTGCCGGCGGAGCGAAGCGGAGCTGGCAACTTCGTTTGGCGGAAGGGCGGGCCTGCTTGTTAGTTGTTATGATGGTTGGTTTTCTTTTTGGAGTCCTTTGGCTTCCGAGTGACGGGCGTTACAAACCCCTCACTGTCCGCTCTGTCCCTCTTGTTGCTGTTGCTTCCCTTGCCGTCGTCCGAGTCAGTGTCCATTTCCGATTCTCCTGTCGTCTCCTTCCCGTCCTTCTTTGCAAGACTTTTCTTGAGACGATGATGGACCCAAAGGAGGAGGAGCCGGGCGTAAACAATGGTGTGTCACTTGCCGTACCTGGTTGCGGAAGAGAGGCAGCCGGCACGTCGGATAAGCCTGAGGGGTTGCCTGCTGACCAGGCGCTGGGCCCGCTGCTGCCAGCGCCAAGGCTGGTGCCTGGCGGCGGCCAGCTGATGTTGTTGCTCTTGACGTTGCTGGTGCTGGCGTCGTCTGCTCCGCTGCCGGCCTGGCTGCCCGCATCGCGTTGAGGACGGTGCCGCTGTTGTTCACAAGAGGCTGTGCGACTCTGGCCCGCGCCCGCCCCGGCTTGTTACACCTGCACAAGTGCGACAGTGGCTCGGGCGGGGGGCGCCGACACAAACAAACGAACGCAATGCGCACGCCGCTGTCCACCATCGGGAACAAGTGCGCCCCCCCAAAGGTTGCGTTGGTGATCTTGTTTACCTTGCCGTACGGCGCCAGTGCGGTAGCAATCTTCTCTGAAGACATTTCAAGGGCAGGTTAAAAATCCTAACCTCCCTGTAGCCGAGTCCGGCATGACTTACTTCGACATTGACCACTGTCCCGTCCTCGCACTTGATTTTTCCGTCGTTGTTAGTAACAACGTCATCAGAGACCATGCCGTCTTTAAACTTGACAAAGATGCGGCGAGTGCCGAACTCCCGTTGTATTCCCACAACATCACTAGCTTCAAGGTGTAGGTCATTCTTCAGAAAACGTTGAAAATCAAGGGACGAGACATTAGGTCCTTCGGCGTCGATCACAAACAGGGCGGTAAAAAACCTAACCCGTCCGCCCGAGTGCCTCACCGGTACGTAGCCTCGCACGTGACAGCACTCGGCCCCCTTTCTGGGTAGGACCACGCCAAGCAGAAGGCATTTTTAGAGAAGTGTGAAAACTGTGATCTAAGCAACGCTAGAAAAAGAAAGCCTGATATTATGAATCAGGCGTAGTCTTTGATGCAGAAGCAATGATTTAAAAACCCCAGCCTCAGGGATCAACGTCAGGACTAGCCGTAAACGTAAGTTATTCTGCCGTCTTCAAAGTGCACCTGAAGGTTAGCGGCGACGCATATTTATTTAATTTTGAGGAAAACCAGACTCGAGCGCCAATATATAAATACTGCTCAGGATTCTACTGAAAAATACCTTTCCGATGGTATACTTGAGTGACTCCAGGGCGAGGAGTCACTAAAGTAAACAATTACCAAAATAGGGGAGCTCGGCGCATGCGAGCCTCGGGGTAGGCCACCCCGCAGTACACGCCTGCACTGCAGGCAGAATGTTGCCTACCCAACAGGCGCTATGAGACCTTGCATAGGCTGAACTTGGTAGGTTCGAAACGGTGTTTGACGGACGTACTTTCTGGATGATCCTCAAGTAGTGGCGAGAAGTTTCGTGCTTCGAATCTTTGTCAAAAAATCTTTTTCCCTGGGCCATTCGAAAGGGGATTGGTGGGAGCCGACTGTGTTCATTCCACTCGAATGTTTTTGGCCTGTCAGATCAATTTATATA